AACCGAATTGCAAGGAAAATGGCAAGATTGGAATAGTGCATGCAAAATGAAATTACAACCCTATGTAGATTATGCCAAAATGATCCTATCCCTCAATGGAAAAATATGTACAAGAATGTATTTGTATAATGGGAAAGCGTATGTATGACGCCAAAAGATGGCTGCCCACTATGATGGAAATTTTTGTTTTGTAAAGATAAATTGAGGAAAAAATCGTGGTATTGGAAAAAAGAAGGGCTAAATTGCCAAGGCAAAATGAGCGGAAAAAAAACTATGCACAATATGCCTATGTTGGTAAAAAAAAACTACTTTAATCATGGCAAATATATATTATCAACACAAAAGCTTAATCATCTTCTTTGCTTGCACCTAGATGTAGTATTCAAACCCCTCGGTCTTCTTTTCCTCTTTCGTGTCATGCATTTGATGCATACCTCCTCCTTCTTCGTCATGATATATTCGAACCTCTCCATCATCTTGGCCGTCGCACCTTCTCGCTTCTCCTTCTCCTCCTCCCACTTCCTCCCCCGCTCCTAGCCATCCTTTTGACGAGAGCAATGTATTCTTTTATTGGCTCACCATCTTCATCTACATTGTCCATGGCAGCGGCTTTGAATAAATTGGCAATGACATTGAGCCACTTGGGGTGCACATTCAAGTTCAACCAACAATGCATGAAGAGGAGTGCTTCTTCTCCGTCCTAATGAACAATATGCAAGCATGAACGACCTAGAAAGAAAAGAGGTGTTTAGAAAGATGCATATCCAGCCAAATGACCAACACATTGAACATATCTAGCCAAATGACCAACACAAGTTGCATATCCAGCCAAATGACCAACACATAGAGCATATCTGGCCAAATGAACAACACATATAGCATATCCAGCAAAATGATCAACAAACAGAGCATATCCACAAAATTACCAACACACATAGAGCCATAAAAACTTACAATCACTTGGAGTAACGTGCCACTTGGCCACCAAATTTGCAATTGTTTGTAAAAGCTGCAATACTTGCTCGTGGCGCGACTGCCGGTGAAAACCGCGCCGACTTCCATCATAGAGGATGATGGCTACATATTTGACATCATTTCCTTGTCGAGGCATTGTTGTTGCAGTTTACGTCACCTTGCTCGGGCTATTTCGGGGGAAACCCTAGATCTGGGTCACTCGGATCAGACGATGATGATGCCTTCGGTGCCATTCTCCCTCCTGGGGGCATCGTTTTGAAATAGGTGCTGGCTAGAGGGGGCAAGAGGTGGAGCGGCGATGCATCTACAATATCGACGACAGTCGGTCTCGGCGGTGTGGCGCAGTGGAATACATGGATCAACCCAAAGTCATGTTGCTGACTCAGTATTTGTTTTGTTAGCCTCTGCTGAATAATGTAATAAAGACAGATATGTCCATCGCTCGATGCAGAACCCGGGGATTATCCTTCTTTTCAAAAAATTGGTATATCGTAATATCATTAGTGGCGCCATATGGTAATGTGCAGGGGCGGAGGCAGGATTGGAGCTTAAACAGGACCGAACATCATGATTCTCACTTAAAGGGGGCCAAGAAAGCTAATTTTGTCTAAACGTCATGTCTAAACTAGCCTTAAATACAAAATGATTCGTATTGTACAATGCCATAGGGGGGGGGGGGGCAGGGCCCCTGCTGGTCCCCCCCTAGCTCGTAATGTGGAACTAGAGGGTACGTGAGTCTTTCTACCTTTTCTTTTTTGCGGGCAGTCTTTCTACCTACCAATTATCTACCTGTATGCATTAATTAATCATGTGTTCTCTGGCTACTTTTTATTTCCGTAGGCTATGAACATGTAGCACACTGTCACAACTAGCCCTCCCTGCCAATTATCTAGTGCTCCCTCCGTTCCGATTTACTCGTCGTGGTTTTAGTTTAAATGTGAACTAAAACCACGACGAGTAAATCGGTACGGAGGGAGTAGTTAATTTGGCATGATGTAAGCGAGCAATGACCAGTAGGTAACTTGGTTTGTGTATAAGTATCTCAGTTTAGATCGATGCATACGCGGCACCATCGCTGGGTTTAGATCGATCGATCGCGACAGACCACGTGAGTGTAATCATGTGGAGATACGGAATCCTAGCTAGATAGGATTTGTCAAACCATCAGGGTCACATGATGGAGCATCTGCATGCACGCCGCCTGCCTGCTGCTCGGCTCGATCGATCCACTACTGATCGGCGTGTTAACAATTCGTCGTACGTGCCGATGGTGCGCAAACTCACAACCTAGATTGACTACAAAATCAGGACAAATAATTTTCTATTCATCACGAGGATCTTCCCACCACAGAGTGGCCGTTTCGGCTCTCTCGGAGCATATGCTCTCTGATGAACAATAAATTCAAAATAAAAACTACTCCCTTCATTTCTAAATATAATTCTTTACAGAGATTTTACTATGGACCACATACGGATGTATGTAGATGCATTTTAGAGTGTAGATGCATTCATTTTGCTCCATATGTGGTTCATAGTGGAGTATCTACAAAGACTTATATTTAAGAATGAAAGGAGTCGTAAAATATTAAAAAATGATTTTTTTACACATGTTTATGTAAGTGTAACAAGTGTGATGAGAATTTTTATGCGAATTGGGTTAGCCGTGTTTCATCGGTGAAAAAAGGAAAAAATAAGTGTAACATTTAGCATTAGACTTGTTATTTTTGCATAGGTCAAAATTCTTAGGCTTTCCTTCTAAAAATTTGCAAATAGCATTTCAGTGTGACAATGACATATCTAATTCTCTTCATATTTCTTTAACAGTTGCAGAAAAAACAGTTTTCACATTTAGGACCATATGCTTCCAAGAGCCATATTGGATTCCTGTCCCACAATCATCGTATAATACAATTGGTGCATTGGTGACAACAACCTGAAACAAGAGGTATTCCACTATTTTTGCTTCCATATCCGTTATTCGCCCAGCTTGCCTTGATCAGCATTTATAAGCTGATTGGGCTGTAATCAAGTAATCAACACCCCTCCTAGACGTGAGGAAGGCACACTCCCACTCGCAGAATTACCATCCTAGTGGGTGTATATGGACACGTAGCAGACAAACCACGTGTGGAGTTATGTTATGTGTTTTGATCGAGGAGTACTTAATCGTGAGGTCATACTACTAGAGTTTTGATTACCAAGTATGAGCTGTTTATCTGGACCAAAACAAGATTGAGATCTATCAAGAGCATCTTCATCTATTATTGACGATCTGGATGTATTATTATTATTATTTTTGTTGTTCATTGTACTGCTATAATTGAAAATGAATGGATTGAAAACTTTCTTGGAAAACAATTCAGTGTAGTGGAATTCCTTTTCTGAATGGATCCAAACTTAACCACCATGCGAAAGTGCGGGACCTTATGGTCCATGGGTGCAAGTGATGGGAGACAGTAGCTTCTAATCTTCTTCTTCTTCTTCTTCTTCTAATCTTCTTCTTCTTCTTCTTCTTCTTCTTCTTCTTCTAATCTGATAGGATATGTACAACCGGTTTGGATGGTGATCCAGTAGTAGCTATGTGTGTAGGCATTTATTCCTATTCTTGCCGGATCTGGTTGTCTTTCTGTAAAAAAATTCTCTAGTACCAGAGCTTGGCACTTGAACTTATTTAACAAATGATTATGTGCATCAAAATGATGTAGAGGCCGGGGTATTCCTCATTTTCCAAAGAAAAAAACAATTACAAAAGCACAACACGGTAGACAAATATTGATTACCCATCGACTGATGATACAGTGTGCTAGTTTCTAGGGTTTGGTGCCCATCTACAAACACATTTTCCCAGCTCCCTCGGTAAATGGTTTTGCCAGATAAAATCCTTAGATTTCCTATAAAAATAGAGATAAAACCACTAGGTTAGTTCAAATTGCAGTTCTAGCAAAAGCTTATAAGAAACAGCTAAGGCAGGTGAACTGGAAGAGTTCTACCACTGAGCTGCCTGCATTGTATGCACATTTATGATTTTTTGTCTTCTTATTCTAAGAAAAATGGTTTTAATACAGAAACCATCATAATGTTTCTGGGGTAAATATCTGCTATATTAAAATAACAGTTTATTAACATGTATATTGCGGTAACTGCAAATCTCAGCATCCACCCCTCCGTACAAAAAGGAAGTCATTTGGTCCAAAACCTTGGTAGGTACTAGTAAAATGGCGGGGTATTTGGGTCCTTTCACATCTCTCCATCATTGGGTACCTTCTCACTCTCAGCCCTAAAAATGAGGATAGGCTATTCGAGTTCCGTTATAAATAGCGGCATGTCCTGATCGTGTAGAAGGCACATTCCTTCACTCTTAGAACGAGTCACAAATAGTCCACACACACACACACAGAGAGAGAGAGAGAGAGTAGCTACATATGTAGGATATAGGGTCGATGGAGGCATTGAGCAGTGCAACTATGTTGCCCATGCTGTTCATCGTTACGGCGCTGCTCTCCCAGGCAGCCATGCCATCGTCCATGCCATCGTTGATCTCCGTGCCAACTGAGGAGCTCGAACGCACAAGTGTGCCCCTTGCCCAGGGGCGCCTCACCGCGGACTACCATGCGGAGTCGTCCCCAAACCTGCAGCAGATTGTGCGCACCGCGGTGGAGGAAGCGTTCCGAGACGATGTTGCCATCGCTGCCGGCCTCCTCCGTATCTTCATGAGCGACTGCTTCGTTTATGTACGTTATTTACACACTGATCGTCTCTTCCTTAATTTTTCCGATAAACATTACATAGTACAATGATCAATTAAGTAGTGTGGTTCTGAATTATCTCAGACCTGAAATGCAACCGCAGGTATATATGACTTACTTTTTGTGTCGTACGTATGTAGGGCTGCGACGCATCGCTTCTTCTGAACGGCACTTACCAAGTGGGCGAGAGGGTATACCACAGCGAGCAGATCCTGGAACCGAAGGCCAGGCTGCAGCCCAAGGCGCTGCAGCTCAACGAGGATATCCGCATAGCTGTACATGGCACCTGCGGACCTACCGTCTCCTGCACCGACATCACCGTTCTCGCTGCCCGTGATTCGGTCGTCGTGGTATGTACAAGTGCACATATAACAGGAGTGGCAGTGGATGCACAACTAAACTACTCCATCTGTTTTACCCTGCAAAAAAAAAACTACTCCATCTGTTTCAAAATATTTGAAATTCTCGGGTTTTCATAACTCAAAAATCTTTAAGTTTGACCAAAACATATGAGTATCTACTATATCAATCCTATGTAGTATGTAAATATATGTTATGAATCTGATGAGACTAGTTTGATGTTGTAGATGTTAGTACATTTTCTTTTGGACTTGGTCAAAGTTAAACATGTTTGTCTTAGGATAAATCTAAAACCTCAAATATTCTGGAACGGAGGGAGTAATATATATATATATAGTATTCTCATTTGCAGTCTGGTGGAGTCCTACGATCTGCTGCTCGGCCGCCTGGACAGCTTATTGCCCAATCGGTGGCAAGAGGTTTACGGCCAGCTCCCGCGTCCCACCGGAAGTGTTGACCAGCTCGTTGCCCACTTCGCTAGTAGGCTTGATCTCACCGAACTCGATCTTGTGGCGCTCTCCGGCGCGCACACCATCGGCAAGGCTCAGTGCAGTGCCTTCTCCGACCGGTTCGGTCCTCGAGAAGACGGCGAGTTTGTACAGAGGCTCGCCGCGAACTGCTCCAGCGACGGAGAGCGGCTGCAGGACCTTGACATAGAGACCCCGAGAGCATTCGACAATGCCTACTACCGAAACCTGGTGGCCGGGAAGGGGGTGCTCAACTCCGACAAGACGCTCATGAATGACCCGCGTACAAAGGAACTGGTCGAAGGCTTTGCTGCGGACCAGTGGTGGTGGTTCTTCAACCAGTTCGGCACATCCATGAAGAAGGTACCATTGATGTACCAAGCCGTCTCTGGGAGATTTGGTGAGATCCGCCGTTTCGGCTGCTTCAGACGCAACTCTGCCCCTAACCAAGCCTGATGTCATCTGCTTGAGATCATAAAATAAAATTGTTGTATCAGTATATCTATTTCCAGTGTAATAAGAGCTAGCTAGCCAGTTGGTCATGAATCCGCCTAGCAAGTCTATCATGCATGCGCCGCGGCCACACGAATTTCATACTGTGGGCGCATGTATTATCTTTTTTGAAGCATGTTATTTTATAATAAAAGTAGTTGAAATATAATGCCCGTCCTTCTTCATCCATATAGTGAATGTACTTCAATATACTATGGTAATGGAGTCTACAACTCTCGAATTTAAGATCGAGCCAACACATCAATAATTTAGATTCCTACTTATAGTATACATCGATCCCATGTCTGAGGCCTAGTAGTGAACTTAAGACGTGAGGGAAGTGTGGAAACATATCGTCCGTCTTGTCCATCACCAGTTCAGATTTTTGAGCGACTATCTGGTGGATACAATTCAGCGATATTCACTATGCATGATTAGTGTTGCCGTCTTCATTGTATATCAACCGATGGTATACTACGAGTGTCTCAACCCATTGTTTATACTAGTGTTTCTTGATGCAATATGTTATGACTCTAAAGTAATTTAAACCATTCTCATCTGTGTAGAAAAATGTGAATTATTCTTACATCTTGCGATATATCGTACCATAATCCATGACATATGTTGCCAAGATATAATTATATAATGACATGTTTTATACTTTTCTTTGCAGAGAACAGTTTAGATCAAATAACAATTAACAATTGCATGGATTTCATAAGTCGTATTGTTTAGGTTGTTCACAAAAATGACTTACGAAAACAATTACATGCAAAGCCTAGGGATATTTACCCCCTTTCAAAAAAATGGGACTAATGACAAGTAGTAACTCAGTCCTTGTTTATTGGTCCCCTTAGTATTTTGGGCCAAATTTTGACCATCGATTTAATTAAAAAAATATTAATGCATGTCACAAAAAAATAGTACCATTGAAAACTATGTTCAAATATGAATCCAACGATGCAAATTTTTATGACATGCATTAACATTTTGTAAGTCAAATCTATGATCAAATTTTGACACAAAATATGAAGAGGACCAATAAACCAGGATGGAGGAAGTACAACAATAATCAATAATTAATTAGCCGGAAACATCCACTCCCTCAAAATCATCCTCTTCCTTAGAAATATTTTATTTTTCCTAATTATTTTTCAAAAAGGAGGATCACCCCCGGCCTCTACATCGAGCGATGCACATAGCTATCTTCATTATATTATTCAATAAAGCCTTACAAAATAAATACATGAATCAACCCAAAAACACCATTTTGATGAACACAATCGCCATACCGACAAGCATGATGATGTGCCTTGACCTCACGTCAGCACACACCATGAAATCTGGTGGGCTCAACAACTTGCCCGCCTGTGAGCTGGGAGCACAAACCGGTCTCTCAGGCCCTCAGCACGCACCGCATGCGTACACTCTATGATCTGTCGCGACATCTTCCATTGTCCCATCTTTAGGAGTGATCAATGCATTGACCTTGATAAGCCCTTTGCCGTTGACGCCGCCACGACCCAGACAACGGCACCCTCCTACGTGTGCCCATCAACACGCGTCTAGCATCGAGGCCCCACAGCAGCGTGCCGCCGAGACCTGCTCCCGTTGATGCTAAAGATGTAACACCGCTCGACCTCATGACTCCTCTAGTCACCATCTGCTCCAAAACAATGCCACAGGAGGGAGAACGACACCGAAGGTGCCGCCATTGTCCAATCTGGCAGACCTAGATCTAGGGTTTCCCCCGGAGCATCCCAGGTGTGGTGACACAACCTGCAACAATGATGCCTTGACAAGGAAACAACGTCAGAGACGGCGCCATCATCCACCTTTAACCGAATTCGGTGCGAGTTTCACTAGATGTCGCACCACCCTGATCTCATCGTTGACTAGATCCACACAAAGCCTCGCCATAAAGACGTACGCCACCACCGCCGGTGATCCGTCCAACCAGAGAAGACTCCTAAAATGATGCCCTCAAGAGGGACTACAATGCAGAAGCATCGACATCGCTCGATCCCGAGAATATCTAGGGTTTCTCCCTGAGTTTTCCCCACCATCGTGGAACCCCAACACCTCACCCCATGCCACATGCCGGCCACCAAAGCCAACTCTGGCTGGATCTGGCTTGGTCTAGCACGTTCGCGCCCACCTCGTGCAGCAGATCAGATCCTCCATGGTGCTCCTGTAGCGCCGCCACGCCCATCCATCACCGCCCCACCGATGCGCGCCGTCGCCAAGGAGAAAACGTACGTACCACAGTGACCCGCATCCAGGGGTGAGCGCTCCCGCTCGGCCAAGGCTCCTCGCACCAGCCCTTAACTGCAAGAGGAAGGGGCTCCTCCGCCACCGCATTCAGCAGCCTGGGCTTATCCCGGCG